TCTTCCACTTCTTCCACGTTTTCCACGTTTTCCATGTCTTCCTCTTGGTGGATTTCGAAAGTGTCAACATTAGAATAGAACATCATTTTTTTGTCGCTGCAATGGAACATTTGAGAGTTAATCGGTGTGTAAAATACTTTATGTCAGACAAACGTAAAAGTCACAGTTACTAAATTCTCAAGTCGTAACGAAATTGTTAGCAGAGATGACAACAGAGTTTAATGAGCAGAAAATACTGTAATGACGGAACAAGAATTATCGCTTTAAAACCCAGAAGCGATTTCAGAAGACAATTAAAAAGCATGAAATAAATTTCAAAATTTAATGAAAAGTGTTTTAAAAAAATAATTATTAAGAATAAAAATAATAAATGAGTTATAAAAATAACATAAATCATTAATGTAGTTAGACATTATGTACGACGATAAAGTATAGGAATTATCATTTATCTTCTTATTAAGAGGTTTTGCATAATGAATTACTTACTTTAATGGGTTATTATACCTTCTAATGTGGTGTTTTATTATCAATACGGGTATATATGTATGTATTTGTATTTATAAATTTTAAATAAAAAAACGATAGTTTATGTAATTAAGAAGATTTTATTGAAAGAAAAAATTACTTTCTAAATAAATATTTTACAATTTTATTTAGTATATTTTATATTCCTTCGTTGTTCATTACAGACATGAGTCGTCCTTGGCAGCGTTCTGTTAGCAAGCCCGATAAGTGACGTGGTGTTGCCAGTTGGTAGTACTGATCGTCCCCGTATCGTTGGTCACCTAATTTTTTTTCCATCAAAGATGCGGTAGATTTTCCATCTATCGCCTTTTCTATCAACGGGTACCAAATAAAACACGTTTCTAACCGGACCATATTCTTTCATTCGCACGACATGATCAATCACGATCATGTCAATGTCGCAATACAGCTTTTACAGCTCATCGTTCCGCCTTATTCTATACCCGCTGCCAACGCGTAAGGGACCATAGATCTACTGAAGAATTTTTAACTTGAATGCTCCTAACGTCTTCTCATCACTGTTGGCATTCACCGTAATTTAAATATTTTTTGAAACCTGTTTTTAGTCTAGATTTTAGTTGGATTTAAGTTCAGATCCTATGTGCTGAGTTTTGTAGTTCATCCTATCTGGGTGTTCGGCGTGCAACCTTAACTCAACTTTTTCCAATAATTTTAATAATGCTTGGTATTATAAATTATTTTGGTTTTAGAAGAAGGTGTTTACAATAACTATTGACATGAGTTTATATATTAGGTGTTATATTTTAGGCGTTCTTCAAAGATTGACAAGGTCACCAGTGTTATGATATTCTCTATATATTTTATAATATTTTATTATTGCAGTTTGCAATGGTGAACTTAGTATTCTAACATCTGAAATAAGATTCTAACTTTTAAAATTCGTTAATAAAAAATAGATTGATGCTACATTGGTTCTTTTGTATACCTAGGTAAAGAGGACTTAAAACTCATCGAACTTGCTTAGTTTATTCTACTGCCTTTCTAATATTTCCTTAAAAAAAGATTGGGGAACAGCAGTACTGCTGAACAGCTGATATGTGAAAAATAGAAAGACTGTTATTTAGAGAGACTATTTGAGATGCTTCATATATGAAGAGCCTATATAGAAAAGCAAGAATCTAATATAAAAGTTCATCTTAAAGAAATTTGTGAAAAGGGCATTTGAGTATCGACAAAGTTTAAACATACTCCTCTTGTATATTGAGATTTTGTGTATATGTGTCTATTATATATAGGTCTATTACTTGAGATAATTATCTCAAGTTATGATTAATAATTACAGTAACTTTGTTTGTTTTTTACTGTTATATATGTTATGTTATATTATAAACTATTTTCTATGGAAATGGATATATCGTCAAACATAATTGTGAATAGAATTATAATGAAATTAATATTAAATTTACTGAGTTACAAAATAATATAATTAAAACAATATTATGCGTATATCTCTGAATATTTACCGATTAAAAGTAAAGATCAAGTGTAAAGTTTTTTATTCCATTAAGCCAAGTTTATGGTTAGATTTCCTTGACGGTCTGTACTGCATTCGGCGTGAAAACTAATGTTAACGGTTATTACCGCATTGCGGTTATTTAATTGCCGCTGCAAGCAAAAACCAAGAAATACGAAAAAAAAGATAAATTGTGAAGAAGCGAAGATACAAAAAGTGAACAATGGAAAGCATCTAACATTAAAAGAGAACGTTTATAAGTCATGAATGCAATAATGCTATTAGAGAGTTGTGCTGTAATAATAATTTATTATAATTTTCTTTTCCAGATATTAAATAATTTCTTCAATATCATGACTGAAACCAATTTAAATGTTAACGCGCTTCGCGGTTTTCTTTTACGAGTACATATTTATATTGAACTTCAGTTACGTAGAAGAATCAATTTATTTTAAAAAATATTTTTAAATAATTTGATATACTTATTCTTATAAATTTTTTAATTTTTACAAATTCATTTTTAAACTAAAATATACATAAAATAATATTATAAATTTAATTTTAACTTCAGTTATGACGGCAGTGACTACTTTACTTAATATAAACGAAGCTAGTGTATTTTATAGAGAGGTTTCAAATAGTAGTAAACTACAACAACAAAAAAATATTTTAATATTTTAATTAATTGATCTGTTATGACGGTAGTATTTTATTTAATTGAAATGAAGATATTGTATTTAATGGACAGGTTTTAAACAGTAGTGAATTGTAACAACACAATTTTTATTTATTTTTAATTAATTGAATTTTTGACTGACTAATAAAATAAACAAAAAAAAAAATAATTAAATTATGCATTAATAACAATAAATAATACCAATAAATTTCTTTTACAAAACTTTTTACATAGATTATATTTGATAAAGAAATGGTTTCGAAAAGTAATAAACTACAACAACACAAATTATTTTTATATTATTTATATATGTTACGTTTAAATAATTTTTTTGTTAATAATAAATAAAATGTTACTGTAGGATTATAGTCATAATCCATGAAGTTATTATACATAATAACGTTTAAAGTTATTAGCTCATAATATCTTTGTTGTTTTCATTCTGGATGGCTACAAATCGATATTATTTCGGTAAAGATTTTCTGAAGTTTTCATATATGTATATTATGAATACTTTATAACCTTCAGACATATACTCGAAAAGAGTATATAAAATTGATAACTATATTTGAATTACAGTGAATCAAACACTGAATGTTGATGGTAAATATCAGTGACAGTTGGTCATACAAGATGACGCATCCATATTTACCCGATTTAAGTAGCTCCATTGTAATTTTATAGTTCTAGTGGCATTCTAGTATTCCCAAAAGACCTATTACGAATCGGGAAACCAGTTTGTCATTTTAATGAAACATTTTTAATTATTATAATGGCCATATCAAACAAGCACTGAAGTCAAACAAAAGTGACTGTAGAATCGTTAAACGCTTACAGACGAGTAAGAGGTATTGACAGACTAGATCAATGGGACCAGTTTGTCATTTTGATGAAACGTCTTTAATTACTATACTAGGAATATCAAAAAACACTGGCGTCAAACAAAGGAGACTCTAGAATCGTTAAACGCTAACAGACGAGTACGAGATATTGACAGACTAAATAAGTGAGATTTTCTTCTTCCTTCTCTGAGCCACAGCTAAGGCAATAATCGGTAAAAAAAGCTTTAAAAAACCCTTACATGTTTCTATAAGATAATGTCTTAGCAGAACAATAATTAGATTGGGCAAAATCTAAAGCTCAATTGGATTGAATGAAATCACAAAGTAGCTTCACTCTTCTCTGATTAATAGTAGAAAATCAAAAAATAGTAGACGGACTACTTCATACGTGTGGTTTAAGACATATTTTTGATTCGTTATTGGATACTATAAAAATTATGAATAATCTTCATCGGATCGATAATATATAATATAATATATAACGTTTAATAGGCGTATCAAATGTTACACATCGAATGTTTAAGAACGAACTGCGATCATACTTACCTATAGAAATGACCAAAGTTGGATGATTTGATTTCAAAATGTTATAGTTATAACTGAGAAATTCCGACATATTTTTCCTCATAATATATTTTGGTATACATATAGTTAAAGTTGAAGAAAATATTTCTTATATGTGCTCAATTTCATTAGAATCAGCTTAGATATCAGATCTAACTGATTTGAATGAAATTCAACTATATACTATATTTTTACATATATCAAAATTTTAGATATAATCTGAAACATATCAATGTACCTAAAAAATATTCCGGACTTTATAACATAAGATAAGCATTTCTTTCGATATGTTAGGTATTTTCTTGCTATTGATCTTAGATGAGTAATGAAAAAAGACTGGATCAGCTTTTAAAAACGAAACCCGAAATTCAAGAATAATATTGCTAAAGTTGTAATATATATATTCGTGTGTATAAAAATATATATTTTTATTAATATTTAATATATAACCGTGTGTACGTAGGGTATAGAAGTTTCGGCGAAGCAGAAGATAATTTTTTTTTAGTTTATTCTGATTCGTTTTAAACTACTAATTGGTTTCTGTTTTTTTAGTTTGACTTAAAGTTCTTTTTTACATTATTTTTTAGTTTAGCTTCGCTTTATTTTTATTTCTAATATACGAGCATTTCATACTAAGCACTTTTCGAATTTCCGTTTTACAAATCGTTCAAACCCACCGAAATCTAAAATCATCCGGCAGTCGGTTAACTCTCTTAATTGCCGAATTAGTTCTGCTTGCCTTGGTTTTTGCTACTGTAATTTGGGATTTGGGCAGTGGCTTTTGTTGTTGGACGCATATTGACCGTAAAGTTTAGTTACCTTATTTTTTGCCATAATTTCGTTAAAAAATTTTCACTTACAATACTTTGTTTTATTTATTTTTAACTTAAAATTTTATTACCGCACAATTTGTTTAAATAAATTTCATTAAAAAGAAATTTTTGGGTGTTATAATTTTTCTGATAATTTGCACTTTCTTCGCCTGCATCGCCTGCTTCTCAAGCTTTTTTTTCTCTCGATAATTTCATTTGCATAATTATAATTGTTAAAGTAATTATTGTTTTCTCTTCCTATTAATAAACTCGTATAAATTAAAATTATATATTATTTAAGGAAATTGCATAAATTTTATTTAAGTAATCTAATTTTATTTGCTGATTAATTTTGATTCATTTTTCTGCTGCCACTCACAAATTAATTAAAATGTCAGCAAATCCGACTGCATTTGCTTGCAGTTGGAAAATGTTGAATTGGGTCACAAGTAATGCAGTTTTCATTAGTGAAAACTAAAGAGTGAAAATTTTATTATATTTATTCTAAAATAATGCAAAAAAAAAAAAAATTATAAAAATACAACGAAAAATTTTAAAATATATTTTCATTTTTATTAGTGCCAGTATTAACATATAAAATAAATGAAAAAATTATCATGAAAATATTTTCATGAACCAAATTTTTCAGTCATATATATATATATATATTATATAAAAAATTAATCATAAAAAAACATAAATTAATAGGTACATGTGACGATTTTAACGACCAAATAATAAACTTCGTGTTTTAACATATAAATACATAAGAGATATTCACTGTAGAAATACATAAATATATAAGAGATATTCACTCTGTCTTGCAAACTCATTGTAAAGTGCACGATATATACAGACTGCTTAAGTTTGCAATATACAACAGCAAAATATACGCACAAGTTTCTTGCAATTGCTTGCAATCTTGCTATATCTAAACCCATGTATGTATGCTATGTATACCTATATGCTTGCAACGAAACAAAAAAGGAAAAAACACAGCAGTTTAGAAATCTACTGCTTCTC